ATAAATCAATTCATCATTTTGACTATCAAAACCATCAACTTGATTTTGAAAACGAAATTTTTCTGAATAATATTTTAATGCAGGATGAGTATATTTATCTACAAATGTACCTGAAAGTCTAACAATTCGTTTATATTCATCTGGTCTTTCATTTATAGGGAATAAAGAAATTTCTCTTAAAGCTTCATTTAAGAGTGAGTTAATAATAATACGAATTGATCCAGAATCATTAAGATAAAATAAGTCATGATTAACAACTGATCCCCATAATAAATCTTGATGAATTCTAAATATTCCTCTACTGATAGGGTCTTTTGCAGACCCCATTTTATTTAATAATTTCATTGACTCATAAAATCCTTGTAATAATAAACTCATAATTGTAGCATCATGTTGAATTTTTTCATTATCTTTTTCTCTAGCTGCAATTGTGTCATAAAATGTATGAATTGAAACTAAACCTTCATCCTTTCGTGGTTCAAATATATCAAAAAGATCATCAATTTGATATTGATCAAATGTTTTAACTCCTCTCATAGTAGTTATAATTTTATATAAAATTTTTGCAGATACAGCAATTTCTATTGCAGTAAGTGAATGGAAGTTTGTTTGATAATTTTTTACTTTTCTAATATAAATAATAAATCGTTTAAGAGATTCAGTGTCTTCAAAATTGATACTTGTTACACTTGGAATAACATAATGAGAAGGAATCATTTGTTGGTACAATGATTTAAAATTATCAACTTGATTTGCATCACGTTTATATTGATGAAATAATTTACCATATAAATTATTATATGAAATAAATAAACTTTCTTCTACACTATGTTGAAAAACATTTGTTTTCTTTGAAAATGTAAAATCAGGTGGTCCAATAACAAATCCTGTTTTACAATATTTCATTGCAAAATCCATTATAACACATCTTTCATCATATTCTAATGAAAATCCATTAATAATATCTCCAATAACAAGATTTGTTAATATATTAGTTTCCATCCATATTGCTTGATCTTGACAACTTTGTGGAACCCATTGATTAGTAATACATTGAAGGTCAGTTAATGAATATCCTTTATGTCTATATTTTTCTTTTCTTAATTTATTAATATCATTATGAAATTTTAATGATTCTGTTGTTCTTTTAAGATGTACATTATTTGAATAAGCATTTATGCTTTGTTTTCTTTTCTTTTCTTCTTTATTTTCTCCTTCTTCATTAATAAAAAGATTATAATCATTTATTGGTAACAAGTTATCATTTATCCTTTCATTCAATGTATTTTTATTATTAGAGCCATTTGATAATTTACTTTCTTGAATTTGATCATTAATTTGTATTTGGTCGATGCTTTCTTTTATTGTGTATTGTTTAATTTGTGAAGGAGTAGTTGAGCTTTGTGATTGGTTTGTTGAAGTAATAATTTCTTTTGAAACATTTTTAAACAATGCTGAATTAATCATATCCTCATCATCACCTACAATAACTCCACCACAACTTAATGCTGTGAGTTCATCAAGAATAGCAACACAAGCAAGAAGATGGTCAATATGATATAATTTGATGTATGAAGATATATCATATAAATAATTTAAAACAATATCTTTTCCTGTTCTTCTTATTAATACAGCAAGACAAAATAACAATTCATCTACTAATGTTTCAGTTGGATGAGTTGCTGTATGGCTTGCCATTGAATACATTTCTGCCATTTCTTCACCTAATTTAAATAGTAATAAATTATCTGAACTTTTTGTATTAAATTGATTGCTTTGAAGAATAATTTGAGGATGAAAAACATTTAAAGAGCAATGAAGTAATTTTAAAACAAATTCCAATGAATATTTATAAATATCTTTGTTTGATGCGTGAGACTCTAATGCCGAATATGTAATAATTTTGATTGAATTAGTTAATGATTTTACTTTTGTATTTACTGCATTCCCACATAACACAGAATTATGAAATTGAATAATTGACATAGAAGAATCAATTGCATATTTTATTAAATTCTTTTTTCCAGTTAATGGATTTTTTTGTCTTGGAAGAACGTATCTTAAAGAAAATACTGTTAAATATGAAATTCCATATAATACACATCTTAATTCATTAACAAGATAAATAGGATCATGAATTATTTGAAGTGGAAATACACCTACTTTACCACCAACTTCACTAGCAGTTTCTCCAATAGCCTCATTAGAACTACGTAAGAAATAACGAATTGTTTCCCAAATAATTGTATGAATACCACTTCTTGTTTGTGGAATAACATATTGTTTTTCTGCTCTAAAAAGTTTATTTAATTTAAGTTGTTGTAATGAACGTAAATATGCACAAGTAACACTAAAAGGATAAGTCACTGGAAAAGTAAAGAAAGTATCTACTAATTTCCATAACATATCAGCATGTTGTTTAATATCGGCATCAATAAGAATATTAATTCCTTTTGCTAAAGCTAAATAGGCAGCTTTTATATTTGCTTCATTACCATTAGTAAATGAAATAAATTTATTAAAAATTTCTTTTGGTTTAATATTAAGAATATCAAAATAATATTTATGTTTATCTCTTGGTTGATTAAATATAGCAGTTAATAACGTTGAAAAGAAATTAATTTGTTCAGTTTTATCTTTAATTTTTGAGTCATCAATCATAAACTCTAAAATATTAACAAAAGTAATTATTTCTTCTTTTTTTCTTGTTAAAAGAATTTCAAAATAATCAAATTTAGTTGATAATAATAATGAAATAATAGAAATTATTGTTTTACTTGCACTATATAATCTTTCATTCCTTTTTTCTTTATTATTAGAATTAAAAAGAATTATTAATTCACTTAATAACAATAATGTACTTTCTTGCTCTACTCCACTCTTTAATAACGTAGGAATATATGAATTAAAACAATCTACTGCATCAACAATTACTGAAATTATTGATTTTACATGAATTCCAATCCAAATAACAGTAAAATATAATATAAAATAATTGTGTTGAACATAAATCTCTTTTGAATGTGTTACAATATTCATCTCACTAAAAAACCTTAATACTCCTTCAAAGTCAAAACTTTTTAATACATTTGCTTCTAATTGAAAAATACATTGATATTTAAATGGATTACTTACTATTAAATCAAGTGCACTACAATAATCTTTAGTAAATGCTTCAAGTAATTCTTTGTCTCGAGAAATTAATGTTTCCATAGAATTTAATGCTAATGATAGTGCATTAGTAAATTGTAAATTACCAAATCGTGAAATAGTAATAAAAAATTTAGTTTTGGCTTTTCTTTCTGTCCCAGATTTAGCTGAGATTTGACTAAAAGAGATATTAATCATCATTTCATCAATACCTTTTGTAAATAAAGACAATCTATAAAACTCATCTAAACAATCTCCAAGTATTTCTAATAAAGACTCATCACATGCATCACTTGGTGTAGAAAATGCAATAACAATAGAATTCCAAATTGAAATTACTGTTTTAGAATAATTAGCATATTTTTTTAATGTGTCTTGAGGTGGATGTCTTAATATTAAAAATACTTGTTTTAATGAAAATACTAAACTTTTTAATGAATTTTTTACTTTTATTGATTGTATTGTCAGACAAATATGTTTTGAATAAAATGTTAATAATGAATCAATAACAAATCGTATATTATTGTCTTTCGTTAATGTTGTATTTCTCATTTGTTGTGTTATAAAAAAATCTAAAACCCCTCTAAGACCACGTTCTAAAACATGTGATAAGTCAGTTGGTAATAAATCTATTTGAGTAATTAACCCACTCAATATATTTGTAGCATTACTTAAGTCACTTGCTCTAAGACTATGTCTAATAACATCACATTCTTGTAACAATTCTTCTCTTGTAACTTTCCTTATTTTACTCATCTATTAAAAATATTCTTTTAAGTTCATTTTTTTATAATTTTTAATAGAACTTTTTACTATTAATTTACTATATATATTTTTTTTATTAAAATAATTCTTTAAAGTTATTTGAAAGTATTTTAAATTATTCAAGATAAAGTTGATGTTGTGTGATATAATAAATAACTTCGTCAGGTACTAAATATTTAATACTCATTCTTGATTTTACTAATTGACGAACTAATGTTGAACTGTGTTGTGATTGAAATGAATCTATTATAAAAATATGATTTAAGTGACGAGCAAATAATGGATAGCTTTTGATTTGTTCAGAACAATTAGGGTTGGTTCGTTTAAAGAAAACAATACCAAACTCATTAACGATTTTTTCTAGTAAGACTTGGTCCCAACAATTTTTATTCATCATGTTTGGAATTAAATCATCTGCTCCAATAAAATAAATGTCATATTCATTCCCATACACCTCTCTTTCATGTTTTAATACATTATATGTTCGTACATATTCTTTTTGTTTGCTCTCCCAATCATCAACAATGATCCAATCAGATGTTTTTACTGCTTCTTGACACATTGCAACACGATGTTTTGATGAAAGAAGTCCTTTTTTCCAATATAAGTCATTAGCAGGAGAAATAATTCCTTTCACAACATTTCTTCCATGTTCTTTGAAATAGTTTTTTGTTAGTTCAAATAACAATAAGTGAATGTAGTGAATTGGATTATATGAACCACAACAAACTATGATGATGTCTTTTTCTTCCATCTTCTTTTTATTAATTTTTGTTTTTATGTTTTACTTTTTAGTTTTTGTAAGTTGTTATTTAATGTTAAATTTATGAAAAAAATTAATCAATTTACAAGATTGATTCTTCTGATTGTTCAAGTGGTGGAGTGTTTGTTCCATTATTTAA